AAGACTGGCTTGAGGGGACGGTGCTCTAATTGGGCGATCTGGATATGTTCCTTCAGAACGCGATTAAAGCGCTCGATTTGCCCATTTGATTGGGGTAGAAAAATGATGACCTCAAGTGCTGAATTCCTCGTTGTGGAAGAAAAGCCTCGAAATGTTGGGACTGAAACTGTGGACCATTGTCCGTAACTATGGCATCAACAAAACCTTCCCGGCTGAAGATTGAAGACAGAAATTCAATGATGACCTCAGATGTAACCGTATGTGTGAAACAAAGCTCAGGCCATTCGGAATGGTAGTCGATGAGAGAAACAATGAACCAGGCATTTTGTGGAACATTATGAAAAAAACCGATGATATCCATACCGAGTTTCTGCCAAGGCCGATCAGGCCACTGGACTGGCTGCAACGTAGAAAATGCAGTTTTGGCAGACTTGTCAGCTGCCTGATATATATGGCAGTTGTAAACTTCATGCTCGACCTGCTGGTCTAAAGCTGGCCACCAGTACCTGTCTCGGAGATTCTGTTTGGTGCGGAAAATGCCTGGATGGACCTCATTGGCTTGTTACGGAAAGAAGCAGGGAGAATCACGCGTTCATCGCGGAAAAGCAAGTCTTCGACACAAGACAGTTCCTGTCGAACTGCGAAGTAAGGCACGAATTCAGAAGCAAGAGCACATTTGGAAGGCCATCCTTCACGTAAATATTTGAGAACTTGAGACAAAGTGGAATCTGCAGCTGTAGCTGCCTCAAACTCAGCTTTAGTAATGCACGAAGTAACTAATGAAACAACTTCCTCATACCGCTCTTCAGTAACCGGTAGCTGAAGAGGAAGGCGCGACAGTGCATCAGCAACCACGTTATCAGAGCCTTTACAATATTGAACACTGAAATTATAATACATAAGTTTGGCACACCAACGGGAAATGCGAATGGGGTGGCGGCCTTCGAATCCTGCAGAAAGAAGAGCAACTAGTGCTTGGTGATCTGTACGTAATGTGAAGTGCCGGCCCCACAAGTAAACATGCCATTTCTCACAGGCAAAAAGACACGCGAGAGCTTCACGCTCTCCTACTGAATATCTGCCTTCAGCAGGGGTCAATGTACGAGATGCAAAAGCGATAGTGATCAGCTGATCACCTCTGAGTTGTTGAAACACTGCTCCCAGTCCAACGTCGGACGCATCCGTCGTGATGACCATGGGAAGCTTCTCATTGAAAATACTAACAGCTGGCTTTGATGCCAGTATTGACTTAACTCGAATGAAGCTCTGCTCAGCTTCAGCGGACCAGTTAAAAGGCTGTGCTTGACGATGTAGAGTACGCAGTGGTTCAACAACATCACCATAGTGAGGAACAAACTTGGCATAATAACCAACAAGACCTAAAAAAGAATGCAAGGTTTTGGCATAAGTAGGCCGTGGGGCATTGACAATGGCCTGAACTTTCGATTCAACAGGTGTCAAGCCGCGGGAACTATTATTATGTCCTAGAAATTGTAACTCATTCACAGAAAAAATGCACTTGTTATTAAGTTTCATACCACATTCACTGATGCGGTTGAGTACAGTATGTAAGTTAGCATCGTGCTCTTCGCGAGTACTTCCCCACACCAAAATGTCATCCAAGTAACAAAGGGCGCCATTGCAACCCTTAAGAATAATTAACATCATTTTCTGAAAGACTTCAGGGGCAGATGCAAGCCCGAAACACACGCGGCGAAACCGAAACAAGCCTTCGTGCGATACAAATGTGGGTAAGTCTCTACCGCACTCAGAAAGTTCAACTTAGTGATAAGCGGACGCGAGGTCCAGCTTGGAGAAACATACCGCTCCGGAGAGCTGATGAAGCAGTTCTTCAATGTGAGGAAGTGGACAACCATCTACAACGATCGCCTTGTTCGGTTCTCGTAAGTCGACGCATAGTCAAAGGGATCCATCTTTTTTTCTTGACGATGACCAGTGGAGAAACCCAGTAGAAATCAGAGACAGGCTCGATGATTCCGCTGGCTTGAAAGCGAGACAGTTCCGCAGAGACTTGCTCATGAAGAAGAAGAGGAATGTGGCGCAGCTTGGCACGAACAGGGCACACACCTGGTTGACGCATCACTTTATGCACAAAACCGCGGACACAACCCAGTTCACAGGTGAACAGGTGGTGGAATTCAGAAGGTGCGTTGGCCGGAAGATCATCTTGGACGTCAACTATAGCACACGTCATAGACGCACCGACGATGTTGATGGACAAAGCCCTGATGGCATCATGTCCCAAAAGCGAGCTACCATTGTCAGTTACATAAAAAGTAATGGAAGCAGTGCGACTGCGATAGGAGACCTGAGCTGTAAAATGACCTAAATTATGAATCGTTTCCTTGGAATATGTTTGTAGAACGACATGTGAAGGTAAAAGCCGAATGTTGGAAAAATGACTATGATAGTCAGCAGCACTGATTAAAGAGACTAGGGCACCAGTGTCCACAAGAAATGACAAGGGCACATGGCCCACTGGAGCTACGATGCTGGGCTCTGACGTAATGTGGAGGCCATCCACATTTAAAACAGTGACCGTATTGGTCTGTGCAGGGCTCGAAGGAGCGGACGAAGAAACTGTTTCAGGAAGATTTGCTGGACGGGAATTGCATACGGACTAAAGATGTCCGATTATTCCGCACGCAAGAAAAGTGCGGTTTCTCGCGGGACAATGCGCAAAATTGGCTAAATGCCGAGCCGATCCGCAACGAAAGCAATGCGCGGTTGCGCTTGGAGAAGAAAATTGCGAACGTGAGTTAGGAGCTCGGTGCTGTTCCTGAAAACCAGAATTTGGCGGAATGGGGTCGCCATATTGCCGGCTTCCTCGCCCCCGCGACGCAGAGAGGCCGCCATGTTGGCCGCCACGGAAGGACTGTGCAGCCGGGCGTCCATGTTGGCCGCCGCGCCGAGACGAAGATGAAGGGCCGACATGTTGACGCGTCCCGTGAAACAAAGAGCCGCTGCCTTGGCCCCCCGCAGCAGAAAGTTGCTGCACTGAATGCGGAGCGAATTGCTCCAACTGGGAGTGAATAAGCTCGTCCTTTCGCGCAATCGAGAGGGCTTCGGATAATGAAATCGAGGAGCCTTTTTGAAGCATGCGGCAGCGCACGTTTTGCGAGGCTACCCCGGTGAAAAGCTTATGGCGGATCATATCGTCCTCGAGCGCGCCGAAGCCGCACGACGCGGCGAGCGTTCGAAGAGAAGTAATGAACTCGGCGACTGGCTCGCCAGGCAATTGTCGCCTTTCTTGGAATTTTACGCGTGCGAGATAATCGAACGAGACATCTTTAAAATGCTCATTGAAAATAGCAACAGCATTCTTGAAGGCATCGCCCGACGCTGGAGTCGGCGACTCGTTGGTGGCGTCCAAAGTATAGAAGAGCTTTAACCCGGCAGGGCCCAACGCGTTGAGCAGCAGGGCCTTGCGACGCTCGGGCTTGCTGGCGTCCTCCCCGGCCGCGTCTGCGTAGGCCTGAAACACCAATTTCCAGTCCGCCCACGGAAGTGACGGGTCTCCGGGCGAATGAAGAAATAAAGGGAGGTGGAATAGGAGACGCCATTTCAAGCATGAAGAATGGAGAGGTGCAGACGAGAAAAAAATGACGCCAGTACACTGTTTGAAAAAGATGACAGAGGCGGCGTAGCTGAATGAAGAAGGAATGAAGCGACGCAGCACGCATCAGCCACCCTGCTGGGAAAAAAGAACGTCTAGGGTTAGCAGGGTAGGTCCGTTAGAAGCAAAATGGTGATGATGATGACCTCTTATAGATGGCGCTCACCCACCGAGGGGGATGGGCCAAGAACCGGGCGGCAGGATACTTAAATGAAACTAAATTGAAAATGAACCCAATCTGAAAAAGTAGTTCAAAAAGAAGCAAGAAAAAGACGAACACGGAGAACGAAATGGGTTCTTACACGTCCTCGTCGCCATTGCTGTGTTGGGGGCTGGCTGGTTCCGACGAAGCAGAAGAAGAAGACGGCCGACGGAGACGTACATGGCCGGCGGGGGCGCCGACCAGCCCGAACACGCGGGTTGGCGCGAAGCGCCGAAGAGAAGAACAACAACCGCACTCCACAGTTACCCGACGCACACTCGATGCCAGAGCGGCGCCCCCTGGCGTCCTCACATGTTATTCCGAAACCGAAACCGAAAACCCAGAACACAACAACAACATCCAATAAATGTTATATTTACTCTATCCAGGCGCAAGGCCATTGCGTTTCGACGATATTTGCAGTGAATCATGGGCCAATTTTTTATCATGAAACCTCACCAACTAGCCTAAAATGTGAGTCTTCTCCATGCTGAATATGATGTAGAAACATAAATGAAGAGGCCCCTGAAGGTGAAAAAAAGTATTGATGCTAATGTTTTGATTTACAAGAAAGGTCAGTCAACAGTTTTCACCTTTATTAGAATGCATGCAGAATTTCGCCACCATTTCATTACAAGACAAGCTTTAGCAAGGCTCTCCACGTCATGCTCAACATTTGGCTAATGTTTTGATGTTGATGTTTGATGTTAGCTGGTGTTATTAAGACTCTAAATTGAATAGTCAATTATAAATTGTATGCAGAGAGAGTATGAAGATTGTTTTTTACTTAATCCCTCGATAGCAACGACATTTTTTTTGGAAGCTGGTTTAGAAGAAGACGAATTGCGGCAGCTTGCCTACGCGTCTGGGGAATGACAAGTACTTATCTAATTTTTTTGTGTAATGAAACTGCCTGCCGATCAGTTTCTGCCCATTAGTTGGTAAGCTACATCAAGAAGAGGATCATTGCCATCATCGTTACTTCGTGAGAGATGCGTTTCCGGCAGCGTCAAGCACGTTTACGAAACCGTTCCCAAAGGCAAGGTTCGTCCCTGTTCTGACTTTCGTTGGAAATTTTTCAAGCGCATTTGTCCTCCCACAGGCATGTCCTCCGTAAACACGCTGTTTGACTGCGTCCCTAAGTGCTATTTAGCGAAGAGTATGGCAAAGAGCACTAAGCGCATTGGAAACAAGCAGTCACCGGTTAATATTGTGACAAAAGACGTCACACCTGATCCCTATTTGAGGGACAACCCGTTGCAGTGGGACGATACTGGCCTACTGTCTACGAGCATCTCCAACACCGGTAACACATGGGAAGTGAGCGTCAAGGTGGCGGAACCAAACCTTCGCGGGGGACCTCTGCAACACCACTACCAAGTGGATCGGTTTCATGCCCACTGGGGCAAGACCAACAACACCGGCAGCGAGCACCGTGTCGACGGGAAGCAGTATGCCGGTGAACTGCACTGGGTCCATTTCAACGCCGACAAGTACAAGTCATTCGTGGAGGCAGCTTCATCTGAAGAGGGTCTCGCCGTGGTGGCTGTGTTCTTGGAAGAAGGTGCAGCTAACCCGCTGCTTCAGAGCGTCGTCGACTGCATCCCGCACATCAAGCACAAGGGCATGAAGCGGGTACTGCAGCAGCCTCTAGACGTCTCCTCACCGATTCCAACCAGCTGTAGCTACTGGACGTACGAAGGCTCGCTGACGACAACACCGTGGTACGAGAACGTCACCTGGATTGTATACAAGCAGCCCACCAAAGTGTCACCCGAACAGTTGGCAGCATTCCGCACGCTGATGTCGTACGAGGAGAAAGTCTATCCGCAGAAGTCATCCGATGGTCCAATTGAGTGCAACGTGCGTGCTCCACAGCCTCTTGTGCGACGCATCGTGCGGGAGCCCCTGAAGAAACGGGACGACAGCGGCCCTCGTTCAAAGGGGCGGCCTTCTTCTACGGAGTATTCACAACTTCCGCAAAAGAAGAACTAAAGCGTCAAATCAGGGACTGAGTGAGAGCAAACTCTGCTCAAGTTATGTAGGTGTTATTGCTGAAGAATTATCCTTAAACTACTTCGGTTTATTTACTCTGACTTTCTTCCAAATGTAAAGAGCCCTATAAAGACGCATTATATGTGCGAACTTTCAATTACGTGGGTGATATTACGATCGCAGCAATGTCACCTGAGTTCTTTGCCTCTGGCGTATTGAAACACAGAAAGTTTGAGTACGGTATGTAGACCCCTATGGTATATACTGAATGGCGTTTGTACGAGTGACCGTTCAGGTATTTTGCAATACGCTTAAAAAGAGAATCTGTACCTGAAAGGAATTTGCCTCAATTTGTGAATTACTCGCGTTTTATGAATCACACGACAGCTAACCTCTTATCAGTGTGGCTTGCCATGGGCCGTAGATAAAATTCCCCCACCTCTCCGAAGGAAATCGTGAGAAAAAGCAAGTGCACTGTGTAGCGTCCATTACCGCATTTTACACGTGAGAACCCAGCGTTAGAAGAATATAGTTTACACCGTACAGCCAATAACGCTGTTCGCTGGCGCCGTGGCATTTATCTATCGCTAGAGACGAGAAACGCGGTATGCGTTTGCAGTTATAGTAGCTACGTGCGCGGTTAAAATAAGTGAGTGCGCCCGCAGCGGTTGCTGACAGCTACGAAGCGTGACATGGTGGAGAAATTTCGCGCTTCGTGCAGACACTATAGAAGCAATAATGTCAACACCAGAATTTACTCACTTTAGATTTCCGTGGAAAATTCATTGGTGTCCTACAAGACAGTTCGAAACCATAGTAACAAGATTTCGATGTCGCCCCGCCGTGGTGGTCTAGTGGCTAAGGTACTCGGCTGCTGACCCGCAGGTCGCGGGTTTGAATCCCGGCTGCAGCGGCTGCATTTCCGATGGAGGCGGAAATGTTGTAGGCCCGTGTGCTCAGATTTGGGCGCACGTTAAAGAACCCCAGGTGGTCGAAATTTCCGGAGCCCTCCACTACGGTGTCTCTCATAATAATATGGTGGTTTTGGGACGTTAAACCCCACATATCAATCAATCAAGATTTCGATGTCGTGTTCCCCCGTTAAATTTCTATTCACATAGGGCTGGTCTGGCGATATCACCGCTATGCAACTTTTGTTCAGAATAAGAAACAATAGAGTACTACTTTTTATCATGTCGCCGATACCAATTGCAGACAAAAACACTCTTAGTTCTCCCATTCGCTAGTCTGGGCTGAACTTCACAATTGAAAAAATGCTTTACTTCGGTTCTTACGATCTGGGCTTCATCCACGAGAACGTTTTCTATGCAGTTTGCAAGTACCTCAATGAAAGTAAAACAATTCAGCTTTAAATTGCGTGATTATTATTCCTGCAAAATAATCCAACCCAAACAGCACCTTTGCTTAACCACGCTAATGCCTATTCAATGTAATGAATGATTGTCTGATCTGAACGAGTGACAAACAACTCTTGCACTACTTTCATTCTGCCTAGGGTGTATTTTCTTTTTTTTCTCCTGTGGGTGGTTTCAATATTGAATATAAAAGAAATCTTACTGAATTAAGTAGTCGATTCTTGGCAGATCCCCCTAAGTGGGTACGAGCCATGGCCGTGGAATCATTATCGTCATCATCATCATCATCATCATGGGGGCACCTGTTGCTAGGGGTGAGCGTACCCGCAGATGTTTCTATGGGAGAGGGCGGTGGACGGATCCCGACGGACGTTTGACATAGCCCGAATAAGAAATACATTCGCATTAAAAAATATCAATATGCAAGCGTTTCTGACTTCCCGAGTATTCTGTACGGATGGCTGACGACAGAAGCTGAAACTTGCCGCCACGTTCCAGCATCCGAAACGTGACCCAGCCTTTCACGATTTACTGCTAGATGCACTAACTTTTAAAATGTTTATTTCGAAAGATTTACTTTCAATATTTGATACGGTGTTCTAGTGAAGAAGCTATTCGTTACAAGTCACATGTCGCGCTTTACTACGGATTGACTTCATTTTAATCACTATTCATCCTACCGACTGTTTACGAGTCCCCATAAATGGATAGGCGCCTCGCGTCTTTCGATCATGAATGTAACCATTAAATCACCGAGACACCCCGAAACACGCTTGGTTGTCGAATGCAAGACAAATATAGAGGGATTCATTTGATTGTACTTACGAAAATCGAAAGCGACCACAATGTATGATGTAGCAGTGAAACTCGCACCGACTTCAATCATTGAAAATGCTTTTCGTTGTTCATGTGTAGAACTGCCGAAGTCGCGTAGAAAAAAGGATCTTGGTTCAAACAAGCTGGGAAAGACTCACAATTAAAAAAAAATTGCAGCAGAAGCAAGAAAATGGCCACGAAGAAACACGTTTGTCAGGATCGGCGCCAGCTTCCAACTACCTTAGAGGAGCGCTCTTCAAGCACCATACCGACAATATCTTAAAGGGCACTCATCAGGCCCCATACGGAATTTTAGTTAGACCATGGAAGTTGTTTGTGTCCGATGAGGAACATTTTCCCACAAATTTTTATTTATTCGGTTCATTACGAGCTGAAAAAAGTGTCTTTAGGGGCGAAGCTCCTTAAAGCAGCACCCGTTCATCCCTCGTCGTAGTACGTAACATGTCTTACGCTTTGACCTGCAAGGTGGCGCTGGTGGATATTTTTTCTGTGCGCTGTTGAGAGAGAGAGAAACAACATTTATTAGGAATTCGCCGATGAGAAATCGGGGCGGGCTTGAACCCCGGCCTAGGCATCGGCCGCGGCCCCTTGGGCTCGGGCGGCTTCTTCGGCTCGCTGGACGGCCCATAGTTGTTCTAATGAGGAGCTAAGCAGCGCCACCTCCCAGCGTGCCCGGTGGTTCGAGACTGCCTCCTCGTTTGTACTGCTGACTGCGTCATTGAGACTTGAGCACTCCCATAACATATGCCCCAGGGTTGGCCGGGAATCGCATGCTTTGCATTTATCTGTCGAATGCAGGTAAGGGTAACAGAGGCGAAAGATCACTGGATTTGGAAAAGTGTCTGTTTGGATTGTCTCCATGCAACTGACTGCTTCTTAGTTAATTTGCTATGTGGTGGTGGGTATCTACGCCTACCGAGCTTGTAGTGCTGCGTATTCTCACTGTAGCTAGTCACACGTTCCTCCCACTAGCACACTTCCCCGCGTGTTGCCTCGCTAGAGGCGGCATCGGCATGCGCAGCTGCTCGGTTCGTGAGCTCTTGAGCCGCCACGTCTACAGCCTCGTTGCCGGCCAGAGGGCAGTGCGTGTGGGCAGGTGTCCATATCACAAATGTATCATTTTTGTTTCGTATTCTTCCCGCGCTGATCGTCAATATTTGCAGCGCCTCCTGTGACATCCGGCCGTTAGCTTAGTTTCGTATCACCACCTGCGAGTCGCTGATCACTATTTCGGCCTCAGTGATGGCCACCGCAAGGGCGATGGCCACCTCCTCGGCCGTCTCTGCGTGTTGGGTTACAGCCGTAACGCTCGTCTTGCATTTGCCTTCGTGGTCGACCACCGCAACCACGAAGCCATGCTTGCACGCGTAACGAGCCACGTCAACGAAGACCGCTTTTTTGCACTTGCCGAATTTCTTTTGCAAATCCTGCGCCAGTCGGTTTCTTCTACCAGTGTTGTTAAACAATAAAAAATTCGCAGCGTGTGGGTTAACTAAATGCCGATTTTCCTGTCTCTCATTCCCCATGAGCAGCCATTGGCATTTACATTGAGCACTATCTGACAAGAAAGGGTTGCTACGTTATACTCGCTGGGCGTAACCTCCTTAGCTTTAGAAACGTTTAGTGATCGTTGGGCCGCCGTGCAATCAATCCAGTGAATCAGTATCTACCATGAACTCGAGGTGGTTAAAGGTGGGAAGTAGCCACGAAGCGCAAGCCGTAAGAAAGTGTGTGTGTGTGTGCCACCTCTCGTTTAGTCCTTGGAATGTCCGCTGGATGGCGGTGCTTCTGTATGCGGAATATAAGATGAAAAGATGCGAGATGGTGGTACTTGGAGTGTTGAATAGGCGGACGAACGGTCACACAGACGGACGCATGGACATACGCACAAATGGCTGCACGGATGGATGGACGCATGGACAGACGCCGGGGTGGATTCATGAACGAACGCAGGGATGGGAGCACGTATGGACGTGCGGATGCACGAACAGACACACGCACGGACGGGCGTATGGACGCATGGCTGGTCACACAAATGGACGCATGGACGGACGGATGCTTCGCCCCACTTTCCAACATTCACTTGTGGATATGCTGCCATTTTGTTTGAAACAGCGCGAAACAAGGATGAGAGGGGGCGAGCTGGAAACTCCTGCCACTCCTCTCCGTAGCCTTCAGAAGCTAAATCTCGTCCCTACCCTCTCTGGCATCCGACCAAGAGGTGACGCGCACGTGGCGCGCAAAAAAGCCCAGCCCCAATACACGCGAGTGGCGTTTATTAAAGTCTTTCTTGTAGACCTTGAGCGCAAAGATATTGGTCTATCTGTCTGTAAATTGGTCTGTTTGTACACCCTTAACGGTACCGGGTACTCTAAACGGCACGAGCCGACAGCCCAAGCGGCCGACCCCATCCGCTGCGCCCACCAATGTTGCTCAAGGTTCAGCGTTCATACTTGTGTGATCGTCAATTGAAAAGGAATGATGGTGCATAGCTGAGGCACCATAACAACACGTATATATATATTCTGCATGTGCGTCTTTTACTCGAAAACGCATACATAATTAATTCTAAAAACCGTTGCGGGTATCAGGCTGCACTGACCATGCAACGCTTGCACGAAAATGCAAGTGTTGCCAGCGCTTTGTTAAGACGACACGGTGCTGGCACCTACCCGTCACCTTGTGTTCTACCCTTTACCACCTCTGAGAAGGGCGCACACACCCGTCTCAGAGCTCTCTGTTTGTTTAAGAAAACTGCCAGATGGCGCTCATGTCTCACGTGTTCCG